GAAGCTGAATTCATTTGTTCATGTCTTAAGCAAATGTGCATGAGCCATCCATATGCTAGGCACTGTGTTAGATTCTTGGTATCCAAATATATTTTTTTAAATGTTTCTACCTCAAAGGGGCTTGAAATTATTTTAGAATTAGACAAGCCAATGAAGAGAGTGAAGTAAGTTAATTACAATAAACTTTGTCCATATTGTACAAAAGAAGATGCCCTTAAACCTATCTGGCAGAGTAAAAGAGGATATCAAAGTGGAGGTAAAATTTGAAATGAAACTTGAGGAATGAATACGACTTTCCCAGGCAAACAAGGGAATGGCTGGGCAATTTTAAGAGATAAGATGTACTGAGGTTATATTCTCTGATAATGTCTGAAAGGGCAGTAGTATGTATTGCTCATCATAGGCAGGGTCATAGGATGCAAAAATCCAGACACTAATAATTGCTATCATTTACTAAGCATTTGTTTATACACAATTATAGAGGTTAAAACATAAATTTTTCAGTGGGTAAAGTAAGTCCATGAGAGGTCAAGTAAGTTTCCTGAGCCATATAGTTTTTTTAAAAGGCCATGTTACCAACTACTATGCTAATTTTATGTATATGATAAGGTTGCCATCTTATGAAGGTTGAGAAGCTTTACCAAAATTTTCATCCAGATGACAGAGCATCCTACTTTCTCACAGAGGTAATATGTGGGGATATCATCAGGCAAAATCAGACATTGAATGTAATGGATCTTACATTCAGATCAATTCTAATGTACCTGGACATGTGCTCATCTAACAAAGCATGACATAAATGGAGTTGACCTAGAAAAATGATGAAAACAATAGTCAATAGGCACTTTTCATGAAGCAAGAAAATGTGGCAATTGATACAGAACAAGTTTCCCACTGTTTTAGTATTATACATTAGTTGCAAAATGTTTCCCAACCTGAATACGAAAGTACAAAAATGAGTTCTATGCTGCTGTAAGCAATTTTTAACTAAATTGCTAAGTTTTGAAAGATAAGTGCCAAAAGAATGGTTTAGGATTCTACCTAAATGTTGAGACATTCTTCGTAGTAATTTGTTAATAAGACAATTCTAGTTCTTGACAGTAAAACCATGCCATCAATATATACATAGACACTAAACTTTTTGTACACAGCATCTGCATCAGGAGATTCGAATATTAAAACATTAAATTATGTATTAAAGACAATGGTAGCTAACATATGGAACTCGTTGATCTTACTTGAAATAATGATCTTTCAAAGTACTATGACAGTCTCCTCTGATTATTCATGGTATTAAAATGCCCATTTAAGGTAAGGATTAAATGCTGAGGTTCTGCTTGAAACTTCTTTAGTCCCATCAATAATAATCCTTGGAGTTAAGGTGATCAACCATACCTGGAAACAATATTATATTATTTCTGGCAGTTTTCTCTACAGTTGAAAGACAACACAGTAATTTTTTTTCTCCTTTATCATTTATTGATTAAGGTATTTCATATGTGTCCTTATCCCCCCATTGCCCATCACCCCCCACTCATGCTCTCACCGCCCAACACAGTAATCTTTGACAGCAAAGTATTCTACTTCTAATTAACTGTTCAATGTTTTCTATGGTTGTCTATTACATCAATTGATCGAGAGTTTTGTAGGAATAGAGGATTATCTTTTGGGGAAATTTGAGTACATTATACTTTGAATGGATCCAGTGAAAATCATAACTAAATCAGCAGAAGAGTAAATAATTTTAAAGACTCTAAAATGTCAGGTAGTGAAGGGTTTTTCCTCCAAATTATATTAAATTAGAGGTGGCTGATCAAATAGTGTGAAGGATTGGGTTCTGATGTAACAGTTAAACAGACATCCACCAGGGTCTCTTAAATTTCTGTCAACATTATTCAACAACTATTGAGAATTTCTATGACATGCTAAACACTGGAGATACAGTAGAGAGCACAGTGGATATTATCTCTGCCTTCATGGATTTTTTTTTGTTCAATCCTTGGGTAGATAGATTCAGACATGAAGCAGTCACAAAAATAACGATGCAATTTCACCTGTGGCAAATGCCATAAAATACAATTAAGAGGATCTCTATGTATAATAGATCTGACCTAGTCTGGGGGACCAAGGAACGTTTCCCCTAAAAAAGTGACACATTACCTAAAACCTGAACAATAGGGAGTTAACAAGGTAAAAAATCTGCAGGGGATAAAAGTTGATAAGACCACAGGTACAAAGCATCCCAGGCAGAGAGAATAGCATGCAAAAGAGGATGTGAAGCATGAAAATATGTAATATTATTGAGGAAATTAAAAAGTATTAGTGTGTATGGAGCAAAGCATGTAATGAGGAGAAGGTAGAAATGTGACTGGGAAATATTGATCATATCATGTAGGGCCTTGTCCACTGTGTTAAATATTTTGGTCTTTATCCTAATGTTACAGAAAATCAAAGAAGAACAAAGCAATATTTAGAGAGATGGAGTTACATTTATTATGCAAGGGTCCAGAGGAAATGTATCTCAAATTCTGAGCCCCAACATGCAGGAATTCTCCATATTTATATGTTTTAACCTTCTTTGTCTCCCAAATATGGAGTGTTTCCGGGCCCCCTTTTGCAAGTTCTTAAAGAGCCCATATGTACTGGGGCCTTGAGATTTCTACCAGAGGCCTGGCCTGGCACCAGCACTGATAACCTTGTCTGGGGAAGGGTAAATTTACAGAAGCCAAACAGCAGGGTTAAAATTTCAAACAGCAGTTTTCATACAAGATGGATGCTTCACTAAGACAATAGAAAAACAATGCTTTGTTTAAATCAGTGCAGTGAGATGACCATATTTGCATTTTGAAAACATTACTCTGGTTGCAGTGTGGTGAACTGAATGGAGGAGGGCAAAAATGGTTGCAGGAAAATTAGTTAGGAGTCTACTACAGTTGTTAAGACAAAACAGTTTCATAGAAGAGTGGCAATGGTGAGAATTGAATGGATTTGAAAAACATATATTAGAAGATAGATATTGGACCCAAAGATAAGGAAGCATTATGATGTGTCACATTATGATGTGTCAGGATTATTCTTAGGACTCTGGTTTACACGGCTGGATGAATGGTGGTGCTATTCATTAAGATAGGAGACAATAGATGATTAGGTGCCTGAGAATTGAAATGAAAATCTTGCCTTTAAACATGTTGAATTTGAAGTTCTGGTCTTCTTTGAAAATTATCTTTATTGTTGAAATTATTACAGATGCGACCCCCTTTTCCCCATTGACCCCTTCTTGCCCACTCCCTCCTCCCACCTCACCTTCACCACACTATTATCTGTGTCCATGGATTTTGCATATATGCACACCAGTTCTGTGGTTACTCTCTTCCTACCTATCCATCCACACCTGTCTTCCCTCAGAGATTCATCAGTCTGTTCCATGTTTCTATGTCTCTGGATCCATTTTGTTCATCAGTTTATTTTGTTCTTTAGATTTCACATATGAGTGAGATCATGTACCTGTCTTTCTCTGACTGGATTATTTAGTTTAGCATAATACTCTCCAGGTGCCTCTGCTATCTCAAAGGATAAGAGATCTTTTTTTCTTAACTGCTGCATATTATTCCATGGTATAAATGTCCTCTTTGATATGCAAAATGACAAGTAGGAAGTTGGACCTGTTGGTTTAGGATGGAGTTTTTTTTTAAAAAAATCAGGAAGCATTAGCATATATAGTGTAGTTGAAGCTAATTACAAATCAATATCTAAGTTAGGGAAAACAATAACTGGGTATCTACATCCAATTAATACATTACAGAGCCTGGGCTAGAATAAAGATAATGCAAGGGCTCTACATACAAATGTAAACAAGATGTCAAAATATTTTTAAGGAGAGCCTTGTTTTACACCTAAATACAATATATCAGAAATGATTTTGTAATCTCATTTCTGAAGACACATGCCTTTATACCTGAAAATCTGTTCCAATCTATAAAATCTGTACTTGTTAGATCAATGAACAATGTAGGCATAATCTCATTCATGTCTTCTTTTACGTGCTTGCCTCATATTAGTACAAGATCAAGTCCCCCCCCCAATTCTGTCCAATTTAACTTTTATGAAAAGTTGGTCAATGCCCAAGACCAGAGGGGCTGCAGCACAGACCTAAAGAGAAGGGTCTTCCTGCCTCTGCCAAACACCCTCATTGCCCATCAAGTTCATTCTCTAATTGTAGCCACCGGTGTCCCAGGAATGCATCAAGTGCATATTTGTTTCTTCCACAAAAGTTGTCCAGGGCTTCTTCTAGCCTCATACTTGACCACGTTTTAGTTTTTGCATTGTATTTAAGTAGGCTAGTTGGATGTTGTCCTGGGGGTAATAAACCCCCAGGCCACCAACCCCCAGTAGGCTTTGATAGTGGATGTGTTTGTCTGGAGAAATCTGGGGATCCTGGAACGCTGGCCAGAGTTGAGTCTCCCAGATCAGGCTCCATCCCCTACCTCCCGCCCCCCTCCAACCCCTCCCACCCAGGCTTATGCTACCAGGCACCCCACCCCCGCTCCCCACCGGCTCCTCCCGCTGCCTCCGCCCCCTCTTTAACAGCCTCCCGCACCGTCAGTCCTCTTCTCACACCCCCTGGGCTCCAGCCTCATCGACAGCCACACTTCCAGCCCTCGCCTGGACCCGCGCCGCAGCACCCTTGCCGCCTTCTCTGCCCGAGATCGGTTCCTGGGTCCCGTTCCTCCCCGATCCCGCCACCCTCGCCTACTTCGCTGCTTCTGCGCCCGGGACTCCGTAGGCTCTGCGCCCCACGGACGCCCAGGACTCCTGGTCCTTGAGAGCCCGCGCGCCCTGCTGACTTAGGTGCTTCAGTCCTCGCCTCCACCACGGCCAACACGGGTGACCCACACCGACCCCGACCCCGACCCCGACCTCGGCACCGCTATCGCCTTCGCCACAGCCGCCACACCACGATCTCTGTCACCTCCACCACCCGGCTGCCGGCCTCCAGGGCCATGGAGCAAACAGGTAGCAGGAAGCGGAAAGCGCCCGCCATCGAGGGGGCGGCTGAGGGCGCGTCGTCTTCGCGGGGCTCGGCGGCGGCGGCGGCCGGGGAGGGCTCCCCATTGCCGCCCAAGAAGCAGAGACTGCCGGCCTTGCGGCGATCGCTGGTGCCCTGCCTGCTGGGCCGCGCGGTGGGCGCGCGGGGCCGCGCGGGGTCCCGGGGCTTCGAGGGCCGGCTGCGCGGCTACGCGGTGCAGAAGCTGCCTGAGCTGCTGCAGGAGCGCCCGCTGGCCCTGGGCACCCTCAACAAGGTGTTCGCGTCGCAGTGGCTGAGCACCAGGCAGGTGGTGTGCGGCACCAAGTGCAACACGCTCTTCGTGGTGGACGTGCAGTACGGCCACATCACGCGCATCCCGCTCCTGCAGGACCGGTTCCCTGAGCCGGCGCGGGCCCAGCCCGGCTGCGGCATCCACGCCATCGAGCTGAACCCCTCCAAGACGCTGCTGGCCACCGGGGGCGAGAACCCCAACAGCCTGGCCGTCTACCAGCTGCCCACCCTGGACCCCGTGTGCCTGGGCGACCGCCAGGGCCACAAGGACTGGATCTTCGCCATCGCCTGGCTGACTGACACCGTGGCCGTGAGCGGGTCCCGCGATGGCACCGTGGCTTTGTGGAGGCTGGATCCGCACGTGGTCCGTGGCAGCACCGCGTGGCACAGTGACGCGGGGCTCCCCGTGTACACCCACATCCGCCCGAGGGATGTGGACCCCATCCCCAGGTCCAGCACTAACCCCGGTAACCAGAAGGTGCGGGCCCTGGCGTTCAGTGGCAAGAACCAGGAGCTGGGCGCAGTGTCCCTGGACGGCTACTTCCACCTGTGGAAAGCCTGCAGCACCCTGTCCAGGCTGCAGTCCGTCAAGCTGCCCTACTGCAGAGAGAACGTGTGCCTGACCTACTGCGACGACCTGTCCCTGTATGCGGTGGGCTCCCAGGCCCATGTCTCCTTTCTGGATCCACGCCAGCGCCAGCAGAACATCAGGCCCATGAGCTCCAGAGAAGGGGGCACTGGTGTGCGCTCACTGAGCTTCTACCAGCACATCATCACCGTGGGCACAGGCCATGGCTCCCTGCTCTTCTACGATGTGCGTGCCCAGAAGTTCCTGGAGGAGAAGGCCTCTGTCATCTTGGATTCCTCCCAGGAGCCTACAGGGAGGAAGCTCAGGCTGACCTGTGGCAGAGGCTGGCTCAACCACGATAACCAGTGGGTGAACTACTTGGGTGGCATGAATGAGTTCCCCATTGCTCTCTACACCCACTGCTACAACTGGCCCGAGATGAAGCTCTTTGTGGCGGGGGGGCCTCTCCCTGCAGGCCTCCACGGGAACTATGCAGGCCTCTGGAGCTAAGGATGGCCACTGTGATCTCCAAGGGCCCAGACTTTCCCTTTAGGCCCCTCTCCTTTTCCTTCACACCACCCATCTTTTTTGCAAAGAATTTTAGTTAACCATTAATTGTGTTCTCTCTTTGAGTGATTCACATATGCTATTTCTCTGGGCTGTACAGTCATGGTTCCCGTTACAATTCAGTGCTTTAGTTTTTACCAGTATTTCAATAGTATGTTCAGGTCAGGAAACTGTGCTACAAAGTGTCTTTTGGGCTGGTCTGAGAAACAACCCATAATATAACAGGGCAGATTTATAACCCTGCTCCAATCAGAAAATGCTTTTCAAGTTCTAGATTGCCACCATTTCGAGGGTATTTCTTTTAGATGTTGGAAACTCAGTGTTTGCTCTTTGTGTATTGTTGGTGCATAAAATACCTTAAAAAATATGTTCTCTTAGTTAAGAAGTCTCACGATGGTGTTCATCCTATTAATTGCAGTTTTGATTATTCAGTGTAAATTTAGCACTGCTACGCCTAGGGTATCATTCTTCCTGTTTAAAGCTGCTATATTATGGCCTGCTTTCTTGGGCAGCATTTATGATGAAAATTTTCAGAACTAATCAAAACTGAGCTACATGTGGCAGGACAATCAGGGAGCTTCTTTTTGGGGTTAACATTTCTTTAAAATTCAAGTAGCCATTTATAGAGAAAGGCTGACTGTTGTACTCAATGTAGTTGTTTCTGACAGTTTTTTTTTATTGTATACATGAATAATGCTTTTATCTCAGACGAATTTGTGATGGATTGCAGAAAAAAAATAAACAGCATTTTAGCAATTAAGTGCTTCCCTAAAGTTTTTGAATGGTTAAATATACATTTTATTATATCTTAATTGTCCTTCTAGGAATACATTAAAGTCAAAATCTTCCAGGAGAGAAACTGAAGCTGCAACATCGGCTATGCATACATTACTTTATACACTTGTTTTTGAAAAGCAAACTTATGGTATTAACATGGGTTATAAGATTAACATCTTGAATACATAACATCTAAATGTACTTGCTATAAGTTAGGACAGTTAAATGTCATCTTGTGTTTTTAAGATGATTTAACAAACATTTTTATTTACACAAATGTGCATGTTGTGCTTATAACTACCTATTCACATATACTGTATATTTAACTTCCCATGTAAGGAAAGGCATGAATATATACCACTTTTATGCAGATTTTCTAATATTTTAAACGACAACTGTCAAAACTTCCCACTTGCTCTTTATTTTGTTTTGTTATTGTATTTTAATTTAAATTAGGTAATACATGCACATGACCAAGACAATCATACTTTATAAAAGCTGTGCAGTGAAAAGTAAGTCTGAAACCCTGGGATTTCTTATCTTCTGCCCATACATCACAAGCAGTACATTAGTGTGTTTGTCTATTTAGAGATAGCACATGCTGCACATATCTGTGCCTTTTTATCATAACATTTTAGAGATTGTTTCTTATAAAAATTTATTTAATTCATATTAATTGTAGGGTAGTCCCCTGTGTTGTTGAAACATACTTTATTTATACATTATACATTTGATAAGCATTTATATTGGTTATTATTTTGTTACTATAAACTGTTCCTCAGTGATTACTTAGGTGCATACATCTTTGTGCACATGTGTAAGTATATCTGTAGGATAAATTCCTAGAAATGGATTTCCGGGGTCAGTTTTATATTTAATAGCCATTGCCAAACTACCCTCCAAGAGGTCCTATTAACTTAACCTCCCATAAATATGTATGCATGCATGCTTCACCACACCCTTGCCACCAGTGTGTCATCAAATTCTGTGTTCTTTGCCAATGAGATATCCACCTGATTTTGATCCTTTCTTTCTAAGCCATGGTGACTGAGTCAATTAATTTGTGGTCAGAGTACCAAGAAGAATTTGAAACAAAGATCAAGAATGTGAGGAAATAAGGGTAAGCAAAAAAAATATTGTCAAACCACAGTTCAGGCTCACATATCTGGAGATAGATTACAAAGGGCTGCATTCCTTAGATACTTAGCTATACCTAATAGGCTTTCCTGCTTTATTGCACCCCAGATTCACTTATATTCAATGCATCAAATGTCAGTGAAGAAAATCCAAAAAGATGATGATGAGAGTCAGCTCCGTAGAATATCTGAGGTAAATGGGGAGAAAGATGAAATCTTAAAAATGAGGAAAAGTAAAATGTGCAAACAGTAATTTGTATTTCTTGTGAAGGGTAAAGAAAGCCAAAGAGTTTAAGTAGATTTCAAGGCTCTGGCTTGAATCTTAATGAATAGTGGCAGCAGATGTATATAGGGAACATAGGCATAGAGGACACATGTAGAAGGTGATCAACTGGACTACGGACATGTTGAATGTGAGGTACCTATGTGATATCAGGAGAACATGCCTAGTGAAGACTTGGCTGTATATCCCAGAATGCTGGGTAAGTGAGTGATATGAAATGCTAGGAAATTCTCTTTTTATCATGCACAATAGAAAAGCCTTTTAAGGATCCAAAAAAAAGCAATGAGAAAAAAAAAGGGGGGGTGAGGGGGATACAAAATAGAAAAGCCTTATTTTACCCAAATTCTGTGACCTCATCAGCCTAAGACAAAATTTTAATACTAAAATTATGATGTATTTTGAGTCTCCTCCTCAGTTCCAAAGACAGTTTTTCTCCCAAATATACCCATCCTTCTAAAATATTTACCTAGGAACTTGCATCAATCATCTAATTAAGCTTTTTCATTGGCCAAATGCTGGTACCTTGGAGAACTAAAAGTTGGACCTTAGCCACAAAGCAGGACTTCACAGTGATTGCTGGACCACTTAGCCTGATGGTCTGAGATGTTCCAGCATTCTCAACAGTCAGCTGGCATGGGTACTGGGATCCCAGCAGCTGCACAGAGGTGAAGGATCACCTCACCACCAGCAGCTGTTCCTGGCCCATGTTTGAGTTTCCGCCTCAGTGCCACAGGTGCTGATCTCTGCCAATTTTCCCAGGCTACCAAAGCACAAAGGAAATACTCAGTGGAGAATATTCCTTTCTTCAGCACCACAATCACAAAAGCACAAATACAAAGAATTAGAAAAGAGAAAGAGGAAATCATCACAGGCATAGATTTATTAGGCAGGCAACTGTAAAATCTGATGGAACAAATTATTAGATTATTTTGTGGAATTTATACCAAAAAAAAAGCCAACTGCAAAGATACAACTAACTAAATTTTTTTTCAGGAAGAAATAAGAAATCAGAATAGATCATTAACCCTAGAAAATTGTGAGTGTTTTAAAATCTGCCCGTTCCTCCAAGAAAATCACACAAATGTATAATAGGCATGCTATGCCTGGTGGTCTCTCACGTTATTTCACATTGTCAAGAAATCTTTAATTTTGAACTACTTCAGAGCAAAAAAGAGAAAAGTTCACTCTTTAATGAGGCCAGCATAATTTTCATGACAAAAGTTGCAGAAAATGAAGAGATCAATTTGACATATATAGAAAATGTAACTTATACTGTTAAAACACTGTAATCCATCAGTGTTATAAAAGGAGTTGAGAAGTCTATTAATTGAGTTGAGAGGTCAAATAATAAGATACATGTTCATGTTAATAAATTCCAGCCCTGGCCAATGTGGCTCAGTTGGTTGGGCATCATCCTGTGCATGAAAAAGTTGCCAGTTCAATTCCTGATCAGGGCACATGCCCAGGAGACAGCTGACTGATGTTTCTCTCTGACATCAATGTTTCTCTCTCTCTCAAAATATTTTATAAATAAATAAATAAATAAATAAATAAATAAATAAATAAATAAATTTCAATAAATAATTTAGTAAAACCCTACAGTTTTGATAAAAACCTTAGAAAGTAAGAAGAAATATATTATTCATGTGGTGAATATGATGTGTGTGTAGGGGGGGGGTGTCTGTGTTGTGTTGTGTTTTACACCTGAACCAGAATCTCCTTTAATTGTACAACATTAGAGGAATTCCTATGAAAGTAAGGAACAAAACGATTCTACAAATCAATACCAATATTTAATATGAAAATTCTGGATATAGCAAGTAGAAACAGTAGTAAAATAAAAGGTATAAATATTAGAAATGAGAAAGCAGTTCTAAAAAAAAGCCAGCTGAAAAGTATGTTAGGAAACAATGAAATAATTTAGTAAAATATCCAGTTTTGAAATTAATACATAAAGAATCAATGTTTCTATTTTCTTTTATTTACTTATTCAGCAATGCTTTCCTGATGCCTGGCATTGTTATGTACATATATAAGAGCTGGAGATACTATGATAACAAAACAGGCAAGCCACGCCCTAATAAGGCTTGTGGTCCCTTGAGAAGGAATGAGATAATAACATATAAACTAGTAAAGGTATATAGTATGTTAGATGATTGCCAATGCTAAAAGAGAATACGGGATAAGAATTCCAGGGGAGATAAATTTTTACTTTATTTTTTCTGAGATATAATTGACATACAAATATTAGTTTCAGGTGTACAGCATAATGATTTGATATGTGTATATTTTGTGAAATGATCAATACAGTTAGTTTAGTTAACATCCATCACCATACAGAATTACAGATTCTTTTCTTATGATGTGAAATTTTAAAGTTTACTCTCTCAGCAACTTTCAAATATGCAATTATTATGTAACCATGCTGGAAGTTTGTACCTTCTGACCACATCACCCATTTCACAACATCCCACCCCAATCTTTTCTCTGAATCTATGAGGGATGTTTTCTTTAGATTCCACATATAAGTGAAGTCTTATGGTAATCTTTCTCTTTTTGATTTATTTCACTCAGCATAATGCCCTCAAGGTCCATTCATATTATTGCAAATGGCAGAATTTCCTTCTTTTTTTATGGTTAAATATTTCATTTGTATATATAGACCACAGTTTTGTTTTGGTTTTGACAGGCAATTGCATATTTTATTGTCATAGTATGTTTATTTATCTACTCACCCACTAGACAGT